ATCCCACTGCTGGGTATGTACACAAAGGAATGGAAATTGAAGGGATACCTACACTCCCATTTTTACCGCAGCTCTATTTACAATAACCAAGAGTTGGAACCAACCTAAATGCCCATTGATGGATGACCGGATAAGGAAAATGCTGCATATACACTCAATGGAATACTACTATGACATAAAAAAGAATGAAATTCTGTCACTCACAGCAACATGAATAAACTTAGAGAAAATTATGTCATGTGAAATAAGACAGGCACAGAGAGAGAATTACCACCTGTCCTCACTCATATGTAGGAGCTAAAAAAAAAACAAATAAAAAAAGAAGGAAAGAAAGATACAAGAATCAAAATAATATGTTGAGTTTTCAAAAGGAGAGAAAATGACTGAGGTTACTAGAGGTGAGAAAGAGGGAGGTGGAAGAGGGCTTAGCAAGAAATTGGTAAAGGGCCACAAAAAATGATTACATTGAATAATGTTGAACATACTAATTATCCTGATTTCAGCATCACATATTTCACACAGGTATTGAAATTTAACACTGTACTCCACAGATACATATAATCAATTATATTTCAATAAAAGTTAAAAAAATAAAAATTAATGGAGCAGTCCTTGAAAAATTCTAGGACTAATTTCTGAAAAGCACGCATACACATAAAATATAGGATAAGGGCTTATAAATCTAGAGGATGGTCTCTGTTAGTTTTCTGAATATAATTATAATAGCAGATTAAAGTATTTGCCTATTATGTCCTCTCAGTGGTATCTGTTGACTGTATTTGTTTTTTCTGTCTATAGATCATATACTTCCTGTTTCATTGTACATCTGATAATTCTTTTGTTGTTGATAAAAACTGTACATTTAAAGTAATGTAATGTAGCCACTCAAGAAATCAGATCTCCTCCATGCCCTGCAAATTACTTACTGATGTTTCTGATGCAGTTATTTTTGCTGTCTGTTTGTTTAGGAACTTTTCATGTAATTTTTCTGGACTAATTCTGTGAAGTCTATATTCCTTGCCATGTGTAGCCACTGAAATCTCTTATGGATTAACACAGTGGTCAGCTAAGAGTCAGAGTTCCTTAAATACCTTGAACCAACAAGTCTTCCATGCTCTTCCAAGGGGCTCTGTTAATTGGGACACACCTTCAGTACTCTGGCAGTTTACAACTCTACCTTGGCCTTCATGTCCTGCATGCATAGAATCAAAAGTCGGCAAAAGATAGGCCCTTATTTCTGTCCTTGGCAAGTGTGTGACCTTCAAGAACTACAGGAGTACTTCAAAAGTTAGAGCTTTTCAAATCTACCTATGGCAATCACATTTCCCACCCAGATTTTCCTTTATATGGTCATCCTCTTATTTGCTCCAACTGGATCTCTGTAACATGCAGCTGGGAAGATAAACAATTGCTACTTATTGTTTTTGACAAATATTCTGGAGATAGGGCTTTTCCCACTAAGTGAGGCTTGAATCAGGTCAAATATCAAAAAGTCTTGCAAATGGCAACTTTGCAGGAGCTATTAAACAGGTTAAATAGTAACAATTCTCTGAGAATATAGCTTTTGTGGAGTTCCAAAACTGGTCTTTCCTCTCCAGTGGCTTCTACATGCTGCATTTGCATTTACTGTAGTTATCAGGCTACACATTTTTAAAAATACTATGGAGCTGGGGAGACGGAATGGAAACAGAGCAAGTTAAAGCTCTCCAAAGCTTGCTGTTGTTAGTGGGATTTAACCATTTTTCTTGAATAAACATTTGGACTGTTGTTAGCCTTTGGTTAATATCCAGAGTTCTAAGAAAGTTGGTTTTGACAATTTATGCTAGGGTTTTCCATTGCCTTCATGTAGATGATAATTTGTGGAGATCCTTAGTCCACCATTTCAGAATTTTGTTTAGACTCTTCCTTTCAAGGAGTATCAATATGTGCCCAACTTCTTTTTAGTACCTTTAATCTATAGATCAATCTATTTGGGATTCATTTTACTATAGAGAGCCCAGAAGAAAACGGGGAGCCTGTTGCAATTATTTTTAATCTTTTCTGGGCTAATTAGTAAGATACCTGGAAATTTAACAAAAGCTATGTACCACTGTTGTGGAAACAAACTCTGCTAGGAAGCACCCTCAAACACTTGGAAGGTTAGAGAGCCAGGTGTTTATTATGGTAGTGGGACCAGATGGGCTCATGACCTGAAATCATGGTCCCCAAACCTAGATCTGACAAGGTTTTTTATAGGCAGACTGTTCCAGGGCTCTTTACACATTTTTTTTTCTTTTCTCAGCAGTTTAGCTAGCATATGCGGTTGTGCAGATAAGCTCTTGTTACAAAAGCCAAAAGAGCAAGCGGTGATTTATAGCCAGAGCAAGCAAACATAGTTTCAAGGACAAGATATTACTTCTAAAACAAAGCAGGCCTGTGAGAAAATTATTTCAAACTAGTGGAGTGGGCATATATAGTTTCAAGGACAAAACAGGTTTATGAGAAAGTTACTTTTACATTTTCCAAAACCATCTCTGCAGAAAAATCTGTACATATATGCAGTTTTGTATAATTTCAATAAATACACAGACTGTATAGGCCCCCATCCATGGAATCCAGATTTAAAACCTTGATTTGCTAAGGTTCATCTTCTCCTACCTAATATGTAATACTATTTTTACAGATTTGTAAATTACAGAAAAATTGGGTCTATTTCTGGATTCTGCTCTTTTCCATTGGTCCTCTTAACTGTCTATTCCCATAACAATAACATACAGTTTTATATACCAAGGATCTTTCTGCCTCAAAGGATTTATACTGGCTATGCCTCTAAAACACTCTTCCTGACTGAAACACTCTTTCGCAAAGAAAGTTTGCCTTTTCACAAGGCAAACTCCTCACATCAACACCAGTGCAGGCCTTACCTTAAATGCTTACTCTTTAGAGGGCTCTTACCTGACTACTCTCTTCGTATATTAGTGCCCTCACTCTCTAGCTCTTTACACAATTTTATTTTTCACGACACTGATCACTACTTGACATTGTATTATTTAGTTTCCTATTCAACTTCTGCACAAGAAGGCAGAAAAATTTTTCCCCCACTATTGTGTCCCCAGAAATAAGTACAATGCCTGACACATAGCAGACAATCAATTCAAATATTAATGTAAAACATCAAACAGTAAGTTTGACCATAGCAATTTGTTTGCTTATCCTGCTGGTCTAAATTAGTAAAAGAGATTTGAGCTTCATTGGCTCCCATAACAACACCACACAGTTTTATACACCAAGAAAAATAATTTACTTGACAATTTACTAAAACAGCACTAAGAAGATTTAAGGGGATAATGGAATGATGATTGGTTGGTTATAGTAAAATCAACCACATGAAAATGAAAGGAGTGAGATATTTAAAGAAGACATTTGAGTGCATTTGATACTATCACCTCATTTTTGTAATCCTGAATTCTCTCTGCTGTAGATATTCCCTGTTCAACTTTCTCAGCCACATGGCAATTAAACATACACACACTCACACAATCTCTAGCATAACGTGCAGACATTTGTAAGAAAATAAATATAATTTGTTTATTCAAGATGTGCTTGAAGATTATCATCACCATACTCTGAACCTGTAGGGGAAAAAAGTATATGACATATTTCAGTGTTTCCTGTAGACTGCTGATAAACCAGCAGAGACATGTACTCTTTAAGGTATATATTTTTCCATTTGGGTGATGAATGTTTTCTGATTTATTCATGCCCTCTTTCCCAATTGCATGGTGAATAATGGCCCACATTTATGTGTGGTTAGAGGAGTAGTGTGGTCACAAAACTTTTTTTCAGATGAATTCTCCTAACTAAGAACTTAACCAATGATTTTGAACTTACTGGCATGGAATTCCAATCAATCGAACTGATAGATGTTTACACATCTCACACAATAGGTGCTCAATGAATATTTTTTGGTACGGTAATATTTTTTGGCATAGATTACAGTAAGAATTAGAAGGTAATCATTAACAGAAAAAAAGCAAGGTAACAAAAAAGAAAAGATGTGTTACTACAATACTGTTATCTTCCCATAGATGCTACCTACAGATCTGTATAAGCTTTATAATAAATAGGAAAATACATGTTCGTGAGAATAAACTTAAGAGACATCTTCAAAAAATGTAACATTTATCCTGGATATTACAAACATTGAGATTATTAGGCTTTAAGATTAGTTAATGAGTTCTCAAAAGTTAGTCATTACAGTTCCATTTATAACACAGGTTTGAGTGAATAACGGTAGTATATGTAACACTTTTACCACATGAAGAGACTTTCTTTGAATATTATTTTTTGCTTTATATATGTGCTTAAAGGAAGATTTATTCAAGTATCACTACCTATGTAAAGAAAAAGACTAAATCCAAGTAAAATAGCCATGCAAATTCAATTATTGAAAATGAAACTAAGGTAGTTTTTAATTGTTCAGATAAGTAATCAAAAGTTGTTTTGTACGTAGGGCATGCTTGTCGATCAGTATACATCCTTTATGAGACCATAGAAAATATGTAGGAAGTTTTATTAATTGTTGCTACCAGTTAAAATTATATAAATATACAAATTAGATGTAAATTAATTGAATCAACCTTTTTCTACACAAATACACTATTTTGTATTCTCTGTGTGTGTGTGTGTATGTATGCGTGTGTGCTGTATCTGTAAAAAGAAAAATAAAACAGGAGGCTTAATTTAGTTGCAGTTACTAAACATAAATTTAGATTCTGACCTTTTTGAAAATAGAGTATAAAGGTAAGTAATAAGTTACTGAGTTTTCAATATCAGAAAGATGAAAACACACTGAAATATTAAAAGTTATTAGTTCAAAATACTAACATCAAATACAAAAAAAATTAAATACTGGTATGTCCACTAAGGTGATAATAGGTAAGACAAAATAATATAACAGTACTTCGCTTTGAGAAATATAAGAAAAAAAGAAATGTTTACAAAGAGTTAATTTTACTAACCTGACTTATTTTTCTTTGCTCTTGTATAGCTTTTTGAATTGCCTGAGATACATTTTCTTGATCTTTTGCATGTTCTGTCCTCCATAATTCCCTTTCTTCAGCATGAGCATTTTCCAAATTTCTTCTTTCTTCTTCTATGGCTTTTAAAACTGCATCCTTCATCGCTTCTTTCTCAAGCTTCAAAACAAATAATGACCAAAACGAAAATACTTGAAAAAGTAACTATACAATAATTCTTTGAATAAGAGATTAGGTTAATCTAAAAGACATAAAACTTTGATCCTATAAGGTTTAGTTCTGACATTGCTGGTCTTATGCATATTAAATAATTGCTATAAGATAAAAGCTATTATGCTTTTTCATACAAATATTCCTCCTCACTTCCATGGCATTTCAAAACTTCAAAGAATTCAAGCTGTAGCTGAAAGTAGCAGATTTCAATATGTGGATATATAATCCTCTTACAATCTTAAAAATAATTTAGAATATCAAAGAGCCTTTGTTTATGTTGTTATAAATATTAATACTCACCATTAGAAATTCAAATCAAGAAAATATTTATTAATTCATTTAAATTAATAATATTAAATTCATTATTTAAACAAATAATATATTTTATGAAAAATAACCATATTTTCCAAAGTAAAAAAAGTGAGAATGGCATTTGTTACCTATTTGTAAACATCTTCAACCTCCGTAATTTCTGACAATAGAAAACAGCTAGATTCTTATATCTGACTTCTGTATTAAATCTGTAATGATTTTTTTTTTTTGAAGCATATACAGAAAATCCAGTCTCACAAAGATACGTAGTAGAAAAAGGAGTATTTTTTTGTTGGCAGTTTAGATAACTGTAGGGATTTTTGATGATTTCACATCACAACTTGACAGGAGGTAGGTTTTTTGTTTTAAAAAATTTTTTAATTTTAACATTTACTTGTACATATTTGTGGGGTATGGTGTGTTGTTTCAATACATGCATACACTGCACTTAGGGTAGATAGCACAATTTTGTACCCATTAGTCCACCATTTCTTCTCCCCCTCAACCCCCTTCCCCACCCAGCCTCTGGTAATGATATTCTACTCTTTATTTCTACAAGAAATACTTTACAGGTGAAGTGAGTTACTTTCAGGCAGCATATTGTTGGTTCTTGCTTTATAATCCTTTAAGCCACTCTGTCTTTTAATTGGAGCATTTAATCCATATACAAGTAGAGTTATTAGTGATATACAGGGACTTGTTAATGCCATTTTGTTCCTTTCTTTTCAGTTGTTTTGTTGATCCTTTTTTCCAATCTTACTGTCTTCCTTGTTGGGTGAGTGATTTTTCTCTAGCAGTGTATTTTGATTTCTCTCTTTATTTTGAGTATATCTCATATGCTTTTGTGTTATGATTACCATGAGCCTTACAGAAATCATGTTAGAGTTACAACAGATTATATTAGACTAATAACAACTGAACTTTGATGTCTAAGAGGAAAGAAAAAGCCAAAGCAAATTCTATATTTGTGGCATATCCCCCCACTTTTTGACAATTTGTTGTTTCAATTTACATCTTTTAATATTGCCTATCTCTCATATGGCTGTTGAATGTTAGTGTCTTGTTAGGTTTGTCCTTAATTCTTCATACCAAGAATGAAAGTGGTTTATTCACCACCATTACAACATTGGAGTATTTTGAGGTTATTTGTGAACTTACTTTACTACTGAATTATGTACCTTCAAATGTTTTCTTGGTGCTCCTTAGTGTCGTTGTCTTTCACACAGAAGAATTCCCTTCAGCATTTCTTGCAAGGCTGGTCTAGTGTTGATGAATTCCCTTAGCTCTTGTTTGTCTGGAAAAGACTTTATTTCTCCTTCATATTTGAAGGTGAGTTTTGCTGCATACAGAATTCTTGGCTGACAGTCTTTTTCCTTCAGCCCATTCTCTTCTGGTCTGTAAGATTTCTACTGAGAAATTCATTGAGAGACGTATTGGGGCTCCACTGAATGTTATGTTTCTTTTCTGTTGTTGCTTTAAGTATTCTTTGTCTTTGGTTTTTGATAATTTGATTACAATATACTTTGGAGTGTTCCTACTTGGATTGAATTTGATTGGGTACCTCTGAGCTTCCTGTGCCTGGATGATGTCATCTTTCTCTATATTTGGGAAATTTCCAGCCATTATTTTCTCAAGTATGCCTTCTACATCTCTTCCTTTTTCCTCTCCTTCAGGTATGCTAATTATGTAGCAGTTATTTTGTTTGAGGGAGTCCAATATTTGTTGTATTTCTGTTTCATTTTTTCTTATTCTTTTTGCTTCTCTGATTTGATAATTTCATATGTTCTATCTTCAAGTTCACCGATTCTTTCCTCTGATTAGGTCTGCTGTGGAACTTTCTATCAAGTTTTTCAGTTCAGATGATGAATTCTTTATTTCTAGAATATTATTATTATTATTATTATTATTATTATTATTATTATTATTATTATTATTATTATTGATTCAATTCCTTTGTCAAGTTTCTCATTCTTCTCCTGGACTGTTTTCCAGATACGATTTAATTTTCTATCTGTTTTTCTTGTGACTCTGAAAATCCTTAAGAGGATTATTCTGAATTCTATGTCAGACATTGCATAAATCCACTATCCCTCTGGGTCCATTGCTGGTGCTTCATTTGCTGGTGTCATATTTCTCTGTTCTTTCTAGATCTTTGTCTCTTTACATTGATACATGGGCATTTGAGGCAACTGCTACCTCTTCTAGGATTTATAGATGTTCCTTGGTGGTGTCAATCGTTTACTAGTTGATATCAAAGATTTGTCTCTAGTCTGTGGTTTTGGTTAATCCCAAATTCAGGGGAACTTCCGGTGGGGAGCAGCCCTTGAGCTCTGTGGTTATACTAGATTGTTGCTTTGCTGCTGATTCTCTAGGGAAGGTTTTTTTGTGTGGATGGAATTCTAATTGTCAGCCTTTTAATCACTTCTAGGTCTTGTGAGGTCAGATACACCTGGGCTATGTGGAAATTCTGGCCTGGGACTGAACCTTCCCAGCAAACTGTGCCCCCTGCAATTCTATCACCCTGACCTATCTCCACTGAGTGGGTTTATGCCAATCAGAAGGCAGATCAGCTACCCACTCTGCACCCCAATGTTCTCTGATGGGCAAGCCTCTCTCCCTCAGGGCTGATATGGTGCTCTCCAAGGACCTCATCTCCTGTGTAGACTCCAGACTACTTCACACAAAGGGCTCAGCAGTGGCTTTTGCTGGGCTCCTGCTATATGTGCTGCAGCTTCTTCCCACCTCTCAAAGGGCCAATCCTGATGTGACCAGGGCTTGAAATAGTTGGAACAGCTTCTTCTTCCTCTCGCTGTGGCTTCTCCCACCTTCACAAACGCCATGGGTCTCTTGTCCTCTTCCTCTGAGCTCCAGTGGTCTCGGGTTGGCAGTCTTTGCTTTTTAATAGTTTTAAATTGGCCAACTGCGGGAGAAAGTGGAGGTTGGGACTGTCTATTCCACCGTGTTGATGAGAGAGAAGTAATCATTAATTATTAGTTGCAGTAATAAAAATGTAACTGTGTCAATTAAAATTTTCATACTGTTACATTATAACCCTTTTTTGCACGCAGAACAAATGCTTTATTGATGCATGATTTTTTAACTATTTTTATTTGGAAAACATTAATTTGTTCAGTTACACATCTTCTCTGGATTTTGACACATTTCTTTATATCATAACATAAAGAAATCACATTTGTTAATATCACCATCAATCTCATCTGAAAAGTCTTTAAGTTTTGGAAAGCAGACACAAATTTTCAAAATTCTAATTTTTGCCTTAAAGCATCTCAAACTCTATTCCAAAGGAACAGTACTACTTTCCACTTTATTCCTGAATCCTTAGTTATGAGTTCACAATTTGACCTTCTTTTATATCATCCACACCAAACATATATATTGATTCCATCTCCTATTTCTAGAATTTGTCTATTTCTTTCCTTTCCAAGCTACTACTATTAGCCTATTTCTACCACTCTCCATCTCTTAACAAGACTGCTGATGCACTCTATATTAATAGTTTTCCTGCCTCTATATTTTGCTGTCTTTAATTTCCCCCAAATTTATGTCAATACCATTTATTTCACACCTATGCTAGAACATTTCACCATGTCTCCCTTACCTATGGAATGAAGTTCAAACTCAATTCAGAATGCTAACCTTCCTTTAAGGCTAATTACAAATGTAATTATTGTTTAAAAATTCTGTGATGTGAATACCTTATCTCCACACACATAATAATAATTTAATATATTCCTCTTTGCCTTATTGGTATGTAAGCAACATTTTTTATTTATTTTATTTTTTAAAAGATGACCGGTAAGGGGATCTCAACCCTTGGGCTTGTGTTGTCAGCAGCACCACGCTCAGCCAGTGAGCGAACTGGCCATCCCTATATAGGATCCAAACCTGTGGCCTTGGTGTTATCTGTACCGCACTCTCCCGAGTGAGCCAGGGGTCGGCCCCTAAGGAACATTTTTAAAATTTCTTTGTAAATTCTTTAAGAAAATGGCAAAATCACATCCCTGGCACAGTGAGATGTTCAATATTTATTTTCTAAATTTAATTTTAAATCTCCAACTCAAAAGGGAGTGCTATAAGTGTATTTGTTTTATATCAATGAATATACTATTTAAATGAGTTATTTTAAACTTGGCTTTAGAAATCACTTACCTTGGTATACACACACAAACACACACACACACACACACACACACACACACCATATGATGATACCTATCAAATATCAGGTGGATATTAGTGTCCTAACATATATGTTCTTTTTAACAAATAATTAATAATCTATATTGTAAAGCATTTCAATGGCATCATAATCTTACGTAATGTGAATTTAACGAGAATGTGAATAGTCATATCCTAAGTTTAAGAGGAATAATAAGAAAGAAAAACACTTTCTAATTTTTCTGGAATGAAACATTATACCAAAGTAGATTGACAATACCGTTAATGAATTCAATTTTTAAATTCCACTAACCCATTATTACATATGAAAATACCTTTGCAGCAGATACCAACGCCTCTTTATTTCTTTGCCTTTCTTCCTCCAAACATTTTTGCAATATTTCCTGTAAATGATAGGACAGTTGGGAAGATACTAAACGTATTATTTAAGGTAACAGGAAACATTCTTTACACACTCCGAGCACACTTATAGTATTACCTTCTGTTCTTGAGACTGCTGATCCAAAACTTCCTTTATTTTTTCTTTAAATAGTTCCTTCTCTGTATCTAGCATTTCAAGGAGCCTCTGATGCTACAAGGAAAGATAACTGGATTATGATTATGGTTCTGAGATAGATAATCAATAAAGATAACAGCTGTAGAATTCATGTGCTCAGAAGTATTGAAGTAGTTACTGGAGGAAACCATGGGAAGTTTGCTAAAACGAAGCCTTCGGAGTCAAAAACACTGAATTCTCCTTTCTCCAATAATGAGCCAAGATACATTTTTAGCCCCCAAGTTCAACAAAGTATATGAGATGAGATCTAATGTAAGAAGTACTCCAAATTGGAAAACTAATCAAAAAATGATAAAATGTCATTCTACAAAATTAAATTTGGAAAAATTAATCACTAAAATTATTATTAACTTGTAGCAACAGAAGCAATCAGATGATAACTTAAAAAAAAATAAAAGTCTCTCCCTCTCTCTGCTCCTCCATTTTCTGCTATGTGAGATCCCTAGGTCACTGTTGCTACCCCCAAAGCTTTCACCAAATGTGTTCCCTGGACTTTGGATGTCCCAGCCTCCAAAACTGTAAGCAGTAAATTTCATCTTTTTATAAATCACCCTATTTCAGGTATTTTGTTATAAGCAATAGAAACAGACTAATACAATTCTCTTTTTCATACCAGAAACCGTCACTTGCATAAGTGATTTTTCCTGTGATCTGGTATCAATTTCAACAAAACCATGCATGCTTTCTTCAAGATGTATTTATCTATGTATTGTTTCCATAGTAGTGGCCATCAAAAAAATACTCTATGTTGTGATAGTAAGGGCAATATTAGCTGCTGTAACACCCCTAAATCTGAGTAGTTTAATACAACAGAATTTTATTTTTTATCCTTCTCACAATCCAGTGTTCCCGATCATAGTGGTCGTGCCATGTGGTGATTCACAGACCCAGTCTTCTTCTATCCTGCAGCCCCACCTTCTCCTATAACCTTAAAAATCCTCTACATTCAGCTGTGAAAAAAGAGAGGAGAGAGCTAGTAGACTATTAGCCACCTCTACAATATACACTATCAATGTCCTTTTTTTTAGATCAACCACATTTACAATATTTATCACAAAGTGAGAAGATAAAGGGATGTGTCTATGCTCCATCCAGGTCAAACTCCAAACTCTACAAATAACTACATAATAAGGCAAATCTGAGACATTATTAATTTTCTATAGTTAAGGTTCCAAAAAGTAACAAGATAAAAAACAAAAAACTACTGCCCCAATTTTGACGACCACATACAACATTCATTGAGAACACATTTAATGAATCAAACCCAACTCACCAAATGTAAGATACCATATATATGTGTTATTAATATAATACATGGTCCTAAAGGTCTTGTTACAATCTAATGAAAAAAAGTAATATGAAACATAAGATGCCATTAAAAAGAAACAAATAACCAGGTGAAGGTACAGGAATGACTGCTTAATAATTTCTGACAAAGCATATCAGGAACAAATTAGAGAGTTACATTTGAAATGGACCCCAATGTAAAAGTGGGATTTAATTGATGGAAAAAAGAAAAGAGGGTTTTATAGGTATAAGGAACACACTAGTACTCCTAGAATAGAGAATACTTCATTAACAATGATGCATGAATATAAAAAGGCTGTGGGAAGAACTTAAACTCCCGCAGGAACCAAATTGTCTGGGACCTTGGAGATCATAGCAAAAGGTTTGAAAATTAACTAAAAAAACCTTTTTAAATTCCTTATATTATAATGATAATACCTGATGCAGAGTGGTGTGTGAATATGGAAAGAGTACAAATTCAAGAAGCAAAGAAGACATACATCGAACAGAAAAAAATAAATAAAAACAAATATGGGAAGTGGGAGTAGAAAGAGGACAGAAATTCACAATATGGCGTTACTAAGATGTAGCAATTAATCAGGCAGAGAAGATAAGAGAGAAGANTTCACAATATGGCGTTACTAAGATGTAGCAATTAATCAGGCAGAGAAGATAAGAGAGAAGAATGAGTAAAGATGAATGAGATCTGCAGTTTGCGTATCTGGAAAAATGGGGAGGTCCTAACAAGACAAAAGGAAGAGTAGCAGGATTGAGAACAATAAAGCTAATTGTTTGGTTTTGAAAATGTCGAATTAAAGATCTCAGTGGAATACTGTTCAGCAATCTGCTGAAGTATGAGGTTACAGTTTAGAAGAGAGGTCATGAGTAGTAAATTATAGATCTGACAAGAAAATGTAATATATCCTAGACTAAAAATTTTTGCTTAACTTTTTATTTGTCAAGGACTCATTTTATGGATTATCTTATTGAAGTTAACTATCAATGGAGAAGAATTAGAAATCAGACCACAGCACATAATTCATTAAACTAGAACTTGAAAAGAAAAGAAAAATTAAAGCTGTCAGACTTCTACTTAAAAAATAAGAGAACATCCTATTTCCTTCTCCTTCTGATTTTAATATGATGAAGAACAGTACAAACCTTCTAAGTACTAAGAGTGAGCTGTAATGACATCCTACCCATATATGGATACATAAACAAGGTTACCTTATAAAAGCTTCCTTCCTGTAGATATTTAAAACTTTTTTTATACAGGCCTTTCTACTTATAGGGAAACTAGTTGTAGAACTGAAACCAAAATCTAAAGTAAGTTGTTATTTATCTTTGCTTATGGGAAAGCAAACAAACAAACAAACAAACAAAAAAACCTACAAGAAGCATACTTTGATATTTGATCATAGAACACTTAGAAGTGTTCCCATGCAAAATACAATCAATTATTTTAAAGAAGGTACTTTTTGTTTCCAATCTAAAATGCACACACATTTCCTCATTGTTATCTACTGAAAATAAAGGATTTTCACGTAAGAATTTAGTTTCTCTGTTCATACTAACTTTTTGATCTGGTGTTCTAGATCTCTGAATGGACAAGAAAGATAAACCAGCAAGTTGAAAGCATACTTTCCTCAATGGCATGTGAAATTTTCAAATTTTAACAATTCTTTTTCAGATCATTCTAAAAAGCTAAAACTACTTTATTACACAGTATGTGCTGTTCACAATGGCAATCTGGTCTTCTCAGACAATTGCCTTTATATTATTTTTTCAGAACTATGTGTAATGACACCGTGCATTCAAATCTTCAAAGAATCCCCGACAATGACTCAAATAACCTGATCTATCATATAAAATCTAAACTCACAATCATTTCATACAAGTCTTTAACAATGTAGTTCTAAATAAAATACGTCATAAATTTTCATGAAGACTTGCCTTTGAAAATGCCTGAAAAAAGCCTTTTCCCCACACCTCACTCTTAAACTCCTCAATTCATCATCTAGAGAATGCCTACACATCCTCCTAGATTCAATGTGTTCTCTGAATACTCAGGCAGTTTTAATTCCTCTTTTGTTTTTACTTGGTCCTATAGCATTTTTAAAAAAACATTATTGCCGGGGCCGGCCCGGTGGCGCACTGGATAAGTGCGCCGCTTGGGAAGCGCGGCGGCGCTCC